ATTAAAATGGGAAAAACCACACACCCTCGCACATCCAGCGGTAATGGGGATGAGTAATAAATAATAAAGAGTTCGGTAGTGGCAGGAGGGGAAATGGGAAAACGGAAATGTAGAGGTCGGTCCATCAGGCCTCTGTCTCCGTGTAATCACCTAAACAACTTATTTCAGACTTTCTTTCTGGGGAGAGATCCTGCCTCTGTTTTTCCCCGTTCCTCATGCTCCACTGATAAAAGGAAACCCGAAAAAAATATCAATTTAACCTTCATCCAGCAAAACTCATATATAAAAAAACAGCAAAAAAAGGATATAAAAACAGGAAGCACCAACAAACAAAAAATAACACAAAATACGGAAAATATGTAAGGTAAGCCAACAGAAACCCTCACTACCCTATTTTTAGGGATTTGTTTTTATTTGTTTTAACGATCATTCATGTATGTATGTATGTAAATATGTACGTATGTATGTATATATGTATGTATGTATGTATGTATGTAAGGTGTAATTTGGATTGGATTAGTGTTTAGTGTTTTATTAGCTATGTATAAGTATTTAGTTAAAAATCTTTGTGTAGCCATAGAAAAACAAAAAGAAACGGAGACAGCAATAGCGACAACGGACACTGACAAAGGCAGAGGACTCTCAAAAAAAGAAAGAGAGTGCGAGAGGTGGGGATTCAAGTAACGAATATAAACGAAACAAAAATGCCAAGTGGAGGACCAACCGAAAGGAAAATATACACACACAATAAAAAAAATGCGTGTGTGTGTTGCTTTTGGCTGTGTGCGTGTGTGTGTTTGGCTTATGGTGTGGTAGCATAATAAAACTGCACCAGAAACCCCATCGGAGCCAACATCCAAAACACGAAAACAAAATGAAGCAGGGGAAAACTCCTTAAAAGAGAGTAGAGAGCGGAAAATGGAGATGAAGCCTGTGGAAAGGCCTGGGGGTAAGTAAAGTAAAGAATAACAAAATTAAATCAGGCCCACACACACGTGGAAAAGGCGGCCAAAGGGGATACAAATCCATCAAACCTGCAGATAAGCCAAATGTAGGAGACGACAGAGAGAGAGAGGCGTGAAACTATGAGAAAGCCGAGAGAGGGGCAGTGCACCAATGTAGGCATTCACTGACAGAAAAAAAGTTTTAGTTCTTCGTGTAGAACCAAGGTTTCTATATTTCGAGTCTACATTCGATAGCTCATGGATACATTTTTTGCAGACCTCTGGCTCTTCGTTCTCCTCCTTTCCTCCTCCTCCCCCTCCACCTCCTTCACCATCCACTTGATAAAGTTCCCCTTTCCTAAATCCCTCAAGATATTCCTGCCTGGGTAAGCTGCTGTTGGGTGGGGTGGTCACGATTGGCAACGTAAAAGGCGAAATTATTGCGCAATGTAATGTTTCGTTTCGGTAAAATAACATACTCGTCATTGAATACACAATATAAATGCAAAGAGCAAAGGCAGCAGCAGCAGTAGCAGCAGAAGAGTACACCACAGCAGCAGTGAGGACCCTAGGACCAAGGATGAAGGAATCTTTGGTGGCCTGTCAGCAGCCAGGGAAAGCTTATGAACATTTAACGTTCGATGAGAGAGCTACACACTCAACATATTTGCACACAGAAGTTATACTTTTAGGTTTGGTTTTAATAATAATTATCTAAGAGTTTTACAAATTTATGAGGATGTAAAGACTTTTACAATACAATTCAAGTACAATTCAAAGAAATCGATTCTATTTCGAAATTAATTCATTCGGCTAAAAATAAATCAGTGAAAAGTTAAAAAATATACATAAACATATAACACAATAAAAAGCCAGCCCAAAGTCCGCACGCATTTTATGAAAATATTATCTAAAATTACAGAAAACAAAAACAAAAAAAATATCACAACCAAACAGAAGCATAAGGGTCCTGCAGCTGTTAAAGGTTGATTTTGCATTGCGTGTATGTGGATCACCACACCACACATTACAATGGGGCAGGTACACACAATTGTGGCATTCCAAGCTTTTGAAATCAATCCTACTGAGAGACATCCAGAAACAGCCAAATATAAACAAGAATAAAAGGCGACTTCTAGACACGTGCGTTTACCGCCTCTCTCTCCCTCTTCCACTTGGCACTGGCACTGGCACTTGTAACGGTAATCGATCGGAACAATAACAGAATGAAGTAGCATAAAAAGTATATTATATAAATACAAACCAAACAAAAAACAGCAAAAATAAAACGCCAAAAAGGAAGGACCTAAGGACGGAAGGAACCCTTCAAAAGATGACTGCCACTCTGATGAAGGGTTTTCTTTGGAGGCGGCAGATTATTCAAAAACAATTTTCACCTTTTGCTTGAGGTTTTTGTTTAAAACAGGGTAGAGTTTGTGGGGTGGTGTATGAGGTGTTCCGAAGAGAAGTTTAAGTGTTTTCTTGGAGATGAGATGGGGTTTATATTCTGAGAAAGTGAAATGCAATTGACGTCCCAGCGAAAAGTAATTGGATAGGCAGGTGTCTCTCTGTCTCTGCCAGAAGTCAACAAACATTTTCTTATTTCTTGATTTGAGTGAAAATTAATACGTTTTAATATAATTAGGTAAAAATGTTGAAGATATTTTTTAATTGATTGAAAAAATATTTGGGTCCTCAAATTTAAAAAGAAACTCACACAACCCTTGAAGGCCAATTAAGGAAATACAAAAAGCCATTATTTCATTTTTAAAATGTAAAATGCAATAGAGTTTTTTGACTAATTGTTGAATTGCATTGTAAATGAAAGTAAAATAAAATATAAAAAAATCTTTTTTATATTGTATTATAATATATTATTTATAAATATAAATATAAAAATAAAGCATTTACTTTTCAATTTTCATAAATATAAAATTAAAAGCATTGGCAAAGGGGAAAAACTTTTCATAATGAAAAAAGAAAAAACATTAAAAAAGAAGAGCGAAATGGGATTGTTTAAAACTTAATCACACTCAGAGAGAGGCACAGGCACTCTCTGAACAATCTGTATATAATCAGTGAGTCAGGGAGGCACGGGTTAGATTGGTAGAGATGGGGGGTAAAAAGTACATTAAAATCACATTAACCCGTCAACGGTTACAATAAGGCACTAAGGGGTATATGCATAACTGTTGTTTATACCTCTCGGCTTAATGCCTTTTTGAAGTACACAAACACACACACACCCACTAATACACAGGGGGAAATAAGTACCTCCTGATAAGCCACATATCCCTCATACCATAAACCATAAGTCACTTTTTAACAACTAAAACCCAAGCCCCCCATCGCTGGGAAACTGTGGTACGGAGTCCCTTTTTAAACTGGAAATGTGAATACCTAAAACCAAATGTATCTCTCTCATTTCAGTGTTCGGTTATACTTGGAGAAAACAAAGGGACTGAAATGGTGAAAATTCTGAGAAAAATAATTATTTCTATGACCCGTGCCATACGTGTCATGAAAGATTGATTATGGAAAGATCTGGCAATTTAGTTTTAATATTTCGGGACAAATGTTTCTGAATTCTAATAATAAAAGGCAGAATATCTGAAATATAAATATCCCTACGCTCCCTAGGTCCCTAGATAAATCTAAAAATGAAAATGTTCTGATAAGCAGAGGAAGTTTTTATCTTTGTTCTTTTCATGTACTTAATGTATTTCATTATATTTAATAATCATGGAAATCCTTCTTTTTCCCAGTGTCAAATCACCACAAACAATTGCTTCTGACATCATGGACTGCCACCACCCTGCCACCAGCCACCTCTTCAACCCTCTCTTAAGGTCTATTTGCCATTAAGCTTTTTTAGGACGGGAAGAGGAAACTGTCAACAATGTTTTGCGGCTATCTAATATGCAAGCAACGGGAATTCGTATCTTTGTATCTGTATTTTTATCCGTATCCTGAATATATCCGTGACAGTCGCATTTATTGGGGTCGTGCGTGTCCTTCATTTGAAAGAGGATTTGTGAGAGGGCTATTTGCATATTTTAATTGTAAAAACATGAGAGAGAACATTTCGTGATTTTACAGGAAATTTATAAATATGTATGGAAGTATTTCTTTTTTAAATTTTCTCTTTATTTTAACTCAAAAACTAGATGGAAGCACTTTTCACTTTTCCTACACTTTTCATTCACTTTTCCATCTCGTTTCCCTCTAACGAACGACAAATTTAAGAATCAGTCTGCAATCGGAAGGAAGTCGGAAGGTGCAAAGGAAGCTCTGAAATCAACGGTCTGGTGGATCAGGTGGATGGGTCGCTGATGGGGTGTATGTCGGAAAAACAAGTTTCTACTGTATATACTGGAGCAACTAATGAGTTTTGATGTGACTGTAGATGTAGATTTTTCCAAGATGATATTAAATAAGTATACATTCTCGATAAAACAAAGCAATTTCCGGAACACACAGAAGTTTGCTTCAATAATTTATTAAGAAAGAGGGCTCAAAATTCTTCTTTAAAAACCCAAAAATAACATTTCTTTCTCACCTATGTAGATACATCAATTGTGCACTTTTATATATCCCACAAAAAAATAGAAACGAAACCAGCACAGAAGAGAGCATTCCCCCACGAAAGATAACACTGCATTTTTCCCCACTTTCGAGTATCTGTCGATTTCCCACGCACGTTCTTTGTCTCTTGCTAAAGCGATTTCTTCCTCCCGTTCCACTTCAGGGCAAAAAAAAAATGAGAAGAGTCTACAAAAAGATGAGCAGAGGCCAACCATTACCCAAAGAGAAAAAAAAGGAAGTAAACTGTAGGCAAAAGTTTTTGATAACTTTTCCGCCAGTCAGTGGCGCATTTTAAGTCAGGGCAGTCGACAGGGGGACAAGGAGCACTAGAAGCGGAGAACGTCCGACCGTACAGTGGGAATACAAGTTGCAGGCGGAAAACTGTCGATTAAAACTGCACAATTTCAAAATTGCAAAACTGCAAAATCTCTTGAGGAGCAGCTATTATAGTTGTAGGTGTATAACTCTTACCTGCTCTCTACGCTATGATAATCCTTTATGGGTAGACTGCCACTGCTTGCTGCCTCCAGCGATTGTTGTTGTTTGGTTCCACGCACAAGATGGCAGGCCAACTTGGTGGCTGACCACGTGACCATCAAAAGTGATAAATTAAACACACACACACAGGCGCGACACTGGTGTTGGTTTTGCCTCTGCTTTAATGTATTCCAAAAACCGAGATCAGAGCTATTAAAGACCGCCACAGAAGAAAGTAAGAGTAAGTGCTGCTCTCACTTTATTTGCGAATTTTTTCTTGCGGTAAAATAAAAACAAGAAAACAGCATTTGCCTTGGCTTCTTCTCCCGTCTTTTTTCCAGACGACTGCCTGCCTTCTGCTGCTGATTCTGCTTCTATTTTTGCTTTTGCTTTCAGTCACTTGTTATTTTGTACAGTTAGATGTTCTAATATATGTATATTTATTGGTTATCTTTATATGGCTATTTGCGTACACTAACACACGACTGACAGGACGACCCAAAAGGTTAGCGAAACAACGACAGGCGGCAACGGGAGCCTGTGAGTACGGAAAGGAACAAAACGAAACGAATCGAACGACGACAAGATTCACGCGCGATTCACGTTAGCTGGTCCTGCAAGGCGACATCATTTTGAATACGTACTAAACACTGCGACGACCAAGCTTCAACTAAAACGACGAGGCAGGGCAGACCGAAGTGGAGCCACACGAACCGCCCAACAGAACACACGGAAAACACCCACGCACGAAGTATGTAGGTGCATGCTTACACGAAGCTGCAAACGAAGTGAAAGAGCAAAGCAGTGCTGAATAAAGAGTGTAAGAGGAGTAAAGGCTTTTGGCCTTTGGCTTTGGCTAGACAAAATCAATAGACTACTTATCTATTAAATGTGTGCTGATCGTAGCGAAGAGAAAGTTACGTTGCAGTGAATGGACGAGAGCCATAAAGAAACTATATAAGGAGGCCTCGTTGGTGGCAGAGTTACTCGCTGATTCTGCCTATTTTCAGTTTTCTCGTTTTGTTTATATTTGTATTATTTTTCTTGCAAAGAGTTCTTTAAACGATAGTTCCACTGGTAGCCATGAAGAAACTATATAAAGAGGTCTCGTCTGCAAAAATTATGGAAAAGTGCGAGAGAAAAGTACGAGTGAGAGGGCTCTCGCTGCAAGTGCGGGCAACGACAATGCAGTGTGCTGATCATGAAGAAAACATTCGTCCGCAACCAACCTTCCGCGTCGACAAGCAAACGAGCACTGAACCTAGGCAGAACCAGCGAGTAACTCTGCCACCGACAAGGCCTCCTTATAGTTTCTTCATGGCCTCCTTATAGTTTCTTCGTGCTTTATGGTTTCTTCATGCCACCGACCACCTCCTTATATAGTTGATTTATGGATGCTAGCAAGCAAGCAGTAAAACAATAGCTAAAAGAGCGACGAAGCAGCTGAATAGAATACATTAAGAGCACAGACGTAATGAAAGAGAGACACAGCTGTATAAGAGTACGTCGGACGCAACACAATCTAGGTATAAATGTGTGTCTTGACTAAGTGGAGACGTGAACCAATGTAAAAAACTTGTCAAGCAGTTTAAGATGCGAATATTCATGCGGCGGTCCTCGGAACTTTGAGATCTCTGTTTCTTTACTTTGTTTTGAATCTCTTAATGATATAGAAGCCAACAGCCGTGGATTGATTGCCACAATACATGTTTAGTTAATTAATATTCAAACGTATGTATGTATGTATGTAAATCCCCCATTCAGTTTGGAATGTTTCCCTTACCCAGTGCAGTTTTCCCCCTTGCTAACCCCTGCACTGCCATTGCCACTGCAATCACTCAAAGTAAAAATTGTCATCAGCTTCCCCTCAAACTCTAACAACACGCTAAAAAATGGCAAAAATGGGAGGAAGTAGGAAACTGTTAGGAGTGGAGTTAGCAATAGTGTGGAAGAGCAAGAGTGGTGAAGAGAGAGGGAGGGCGAGCGAAAGACAAAATGAAACCAGCAAACGAATTGCAACAAAATGCTCAAACACACTCAACGAAATTGACTTAAATAAATAAATGGTATAAAAAGAAAGGAAAGGGATAGGGGGACAGATATCGGGAGTAAGACTCAAAGAACTTACCGGGTAAAGAGCCATAGGGAAGCGGAACAGTGGAGCGGAGAGACAGTGGGACAAACAGAGTGTCATAGCAACAAAACGCCTTTCTTTTTGCAAGCAGAATAGAGACGAATAATCAGATGGAAAGAGATAGTCACTGAGACACCGTTAAAAGTCGAACTTCGCTGTGATATGGTGGTGTGGAGGGAAAGAAGGCGGAGGGAGAGAAAACTTTGGTGTTTAGCTTGTTGCAACATTTTATTCCATTTTAAGCAACCAACAACTGCAACAACAAAAATAGACAGAGACAACACTTAGTACCTCATCCATTTTCATTTGTTTTAAGAAAAAGTCAAAGTGCATATCCTCAGAGGGACAGAGAGCAAGTGAGCGCTGAAGAGAGAGAGAGAGAGAGAGAGAGAGAGTGAAAGATAGCAGGGAAATTATAAATGGATGCGTGAGAGCACACGCAAGAGCATGATCATCGTATGGGTAGGATATTTCTTATTATTCTGATAAGTCAATAACAATTATTTTGACCATACGTTATCATACTGGATCCAGTACATATGCATAATTTTCCATCAACGTATAATATTCTAACATTATCTATGCACCTTTAGACTCTTTTCTGAAATATCTTCGAAATTCTCATTTGAGTACAACATATCCCAATGTTGTATATATGTATATATGTATATATGTATATATGTATATAATGTATATATGTACATATGTATGTAAATTGGAAATTATATTAATTATATTCGTTCTTCTAAATCTAATTACACTACTCGACAAAAGCGAACTTTTTTTTCCTCTTCAATCCAAATCACCTATTCAAAATTTACGGCTTTAAATTTGTTTTATAGAATTATGGTTTTTTTCTATGAAATAACTTTTTTTTTAATTTTTAAAGTCTGGTATTGTTTGAAACTGTTTTAATTTTTGAGGTAGCGCTTCTTATTTTCACATACCTTAAGTATGTATCTTATATCTGGTTGTAATGAACTTAGCCATTCTATAAAGCTAATGAAAGCATCTATAATAAATCCCCAAACACTTTGTAGTTTTAATATATTAATGTTAATATTATATGGAAAATATTAAGCTTTCAAATGGAAAAATTATGATTTTTGTGTGGTATTTTTTACGCTCAGACGTCTGTCCATAGATACGGATGAGCAATACCTTAAACGACGCCCAATGAATGCAACTGTACACAAACGAATAAAGAGCCTATGGTATAATATTTATAACTTATAATATAAGTCGACAATTTGTTAAAAACGCCTCGCATAAATCTAGATTTTTTTATTTCAAAGTTTTATATTTCCTATGCGGTAAGCTAGAACACTGGGTACACTGCATCTATCAGCTTTTCACACAAACAAAGAGCTTTGCCATCAGATTTAAGATACTAAAGTTATATTAAAAACCGCTTCGTCTGAAAAAACCTTAAAACAATTACCAGATTTAAAAATATTATTAAAAACGAGAAGGGACGTGTGAGACGCTTCTTACGCGTCACAACGGTATACTCGGCACTCAGTACTACATCTGCACCTTAGCGGTGTTTTGTCAAATTTTAAATTTTTTCTACATCTGTCATCTACATCACATCTACAACACTTCTCACACCAACACGCTCCTTAAGCTCGCCCCCCTTCCCAAGACCCACACACTGCAGACTCGCGGCAGAGGCAGAGTCCAAAGCAGAGTGTGAATGAGAGAATGTGAAAAAAATAACACAAGCTGCGGGACAGGGTGGGTTTAGCCACTGCAAATTAATTTCTTCATTCTGGCTATAATAATGATACAATCGGATCCCAATTTGGTGATCTGATAGATATGGCCATTCCCTACTGAATTTGTAGTTTTCTTTTATCTTCAACATTTTAGGTTTGGGAGGTTTTCGCCTTTTCGAGCTAATTTTTGAAATACACTGGTTTCAGTGTGAGCATACAGCAGTCTGGAGCCAAAATGTGGTGGCTCTAGCTCTTATAGTTTTTGAGAACTAGCCGACAAAAAAGACGGACAGACGGACGGACGGACAGACGGATAGACAGACGTGGCTCTATCGACTCGGCTATTGATGCTGATCAAGAATATATATACTTTATGGGGTCTGAAACGTTTTCTTCTGTGCGTTACATACAATCGTTATTCGCACAAATACAATATAACCTATTTACTCTTCGAGTACCGGGTATAAAAACCGTAAAATACCGACCTAGTTTAGAATTTGTTTGAATTTTAGTCTTTTTTGTTTCAGTTTTTTTCGAGTCCATAGCCATAAATACTCTGGCAATGGGCGCGCAACCCTCCAACAGGAGATTCGAGCAGTGTTATCTGTTATATAAATACACTTTCTCCCAATTGTCATTGAATATTTTCAAACACGAAAACTTAAAAAATATTGAACTCCCAACGCACCAAAGAAAACTCCCATCTCCAAACATTCAACTGCATTCTCTTGCACCATTACCCACTCCACCCACCACAAGATAGAAGTGATGAAATTACTCAGAAAATGCCTTTGTTGTTTGTTTGACAAAAAGTCTAGGCCACCCCCTCCCCCACACTCCAGAAAACAACACTTTTACCCCTACTCCCTCACTCACCCCCGCTCTCCAAGAGACGTTCGTTAGCGCAGCTGCCAGGAGAATTTATCTTATTTCACCGAAATGGAACACGATTATATATTATTTGTCGCTTTATTCATTCAATCATTCGTTCATTCATACGAACGGATTACTTTCGTTCGCTTTCTCATTGTTTCTGTTTGTCATATTGGACACATTGTTAGCCCCGAATGTTATCGATGCAAATAGATGCGTATTGTTAATGGAACTTCTGCTCTGCTTTGCTCTACTATGAGCAAAAAAGTGCAGTGAAAATTGGGTGAAAAAACAAACGGATTTCCGTGAGAACTACTAGTAAGTATATAGATGGGGAAAAGCTTCAGAGAAGTTTGAGAAGATTATTCACACCAACCAAAGTACATAAAAGTGTATGATATGAAGGATTGTTGACGAATTTAAAGAGCAGAAAAGCAACCCTAAGCAAAAATATTTCTATTGGAGGATCAAAACTTAAAATGTATACATTATTTAAGTTGAATGCAAAATAAATGGAATATATGAAAGACTTACTTACGTACTTATTCTTAAGGTACCTTAATTTTAAATTCTATTTATATTATACTCGAATTGATTGGCGCTAAGTTTATCATTTCTCTTTCCCTTTTTCTAACAAGAATTTTATCTCACTTATGTAAGTCTGTCCAATCTATCAATTATGTCAGCTCTTTTTTCGACATCTATCAAGGACTCCCAATCTCTATTCACTCTCTGTGAGCCAAGGAGACAGCGACAGTTTGGAGGAGCAGGACAACGCTATACAAAATCATTGCGAACGAGTGCAAATAAATAAAAACATATAAAACTGTACTTCTTTTGCAAGGCGAGCATAAATAGACATTTGTATTGGCTCAAGAGAAAGAGAGAGAGAGAGGGACACAGCGAAAGAGAGATGGAGATAGAAGGGGAGATAT